GCTGCAGCAGTCAGTGTCTTTTTCCACTGGGAATATTGTGCCAATCTGGTATCTCTGCCATAAGTAATATGATGAACTCAGCATAGATAAGAAGTTATGTAGAGCTCTTACTGTTACCTTACCCACTCATGCTACTCAGTGCTCAAGGTTTTACATCATTACAAGCCTTGCTTGATGAGCTGTTTTAGTTTTGGTTTGGGGTGGAGGGATTTACCTGGAGTGTGGTGAGGTTTGGTGGCTAAATTCAATCTTTGCTTGAGTACGTGGAGATTCCACTTAGGTCAGCGGGGTAGTACATGTGCCGCCTGTAGAACATTTCAGCACTTCAGGGAGGAGCTTTTAATCATACAAGGAACTGTCTGTATCTCACTGTGACCATCTCGCTCTTTCCAAATATACCCTTGGCTTAAGTGGCCTTAGGAATAGCCTGCACAAGCTTTGCTTTCTCTGACTTGTATCTTCAAAATTAATTTATTTTTGCACTGCATTCTTGTGCACCTAATTTCAAATGGTCTAACTTCAAATCACTGATGTCTGCAAAATCATTTCAAGAGCAGCAGATGAGATCTGCCTCGTTACACGGTGCTAGATGGACATAAGCAGTAGCTAAGACAGGCGTTATCAGCAGGGCTGTCTCCTGAGCACATTTTGATCATGTGGAAGTCTGGCAAATGTCAGTCTGGCAAATAGCCAGCTTTTAATTTTCCAAAGATAGAGAATTAAACCTTGACACTGCCCCCCTTTTTCCCTGGAGCCCAGGACTGATCTGTGCTGAAAGTATTCATAAGCAGCGGATTTCAACATGATTCAATCTGTTCTGAAAAAAAAGTTGCAAAACTCTTGATTTGGCTTTTTTCTTCTGGTTGTTTCTTATGTTGAAATACATCATATATTTTGTTATTTTAAAATATTTCATATATGCTTAATCTCTTCTACTTTTACACAGACGTCAGGAAGACTTGTCAGTATTTTGTAGCACCGCACAGTTAATGCCAGGCTCCCTCCTGCCACTAAGTGGGCTTAATGCACGATGAGATGTAGGACTGGGACAGAAATATGTAGGATTTGATCACAGAGCTGGAGTGTGTGTTGAAATTGCTGGCGTGCCCACGGTGTGTTATTTGCTGGGCAGCCTCTTTGCCTGCATGCCCCACACGCTGCCACCCAGGAATCCCCTCCAAGCTGCAGCAAGCCTCTTGCTGCCAAAACTCCCTGGTATGAGCCTGGCCTTCTCCTCTGGTATGTGGGACTGAGCAACGCCATATGTGAAGGCCAAAAGAGGATAGATTAGGAAGAAAGGATTTCCTAAGATTTTAAACCCTCCAGATTTAACACCACATCAGGTGAATGCCAAAACCCCAGGT